AATGCAATCTTAAAGTCCCAGAAAAGTTATTTGTATCAACAAACTGAATCTGAAGTGTATATGCAGAGGCAAAAGACCCGGAATAATCAACAGCAACACTACAGTAGACCTGGAATAATCAACAGCAACACTAAAGTAGACCTGGAATAATCAACAACAACACTAAAGTAGACCCAGAATAATCAACAGCAACACTAAAGTAGACCTGGATAATCAGCAGTAACACACAGTAGACCCGGAATAATCAACAGCAACACTACAGTAGACTGGAATAATCAACAGCAACACTAAAGTAGACCGGAACAATCAACAGCAACACTAAACAGGAGCAAAGTTAGAAGACAGACACTGTCTGACTTCAGAACGTACCATAATGCCAGTAACAAGACAGTGTTATCATACTGGTGAAAGAAGCATCATCAGAAACAGACCTGCGAACATACAGTTAAATGACAGCCACCAGAGAAGCCAAGCGATGCAGCTGCTCTTTGCTTTGAGTAGACTTAGAGACCTATAAGCTTCCTAAGTCGAAAGTTTTGTTAAGTCAAATGTACTTAGCACACCTCACCTACCTATATCTATAGTGATATTTTATTTGTACTAAAATGTGATTTGTATGTTAATAAATAAAGTTGCCCAGGGGTCAGAGCTATTAGAGCCATAGCAAAAGCTGGGCGGTGGTGGTGCACGCCTCTAACCCCAGAACTTGGTAGGCAGAGCTAGGTAGATCTCTGTGTGTTCAAGGATACAGCCAGCATTGGAGACACACGCCTTTAATCTCAATACCTACCATAGAAGACCTGGAGGTCTGTACAAACAGGCAGTGATGAGGCGGTCATGTGGTTGGGTTTACAACCAATGAGAAGGCAGAACAGAAAGTCTATAAAGACAAACACACAGGAAGTAGGTCTCTTTCGGAGAGGTCTCTTGGCTGAAGAGGCTAGCTGCAGCAGGCGGGTAAGGCTCTTAGCTCTGATCTCTTGGCTTACTTCTTTGCATTGGTTCTGTGTTTCTTATTTAATAAGACAGTTGGTTACATCTACATATGTCAGAGCTTGTCATGGTGGCGCACTACCAACTGAGTTGTTTACTCTCGGGATCTGGTGGCCAGTCGGAAGCTGCAGCTTGCTACTGTTGCCCAGCATCGTAAGAGTGCATCCCACTGCATTGGCTAGCCAAAAGTCAAAAGTCACGGCCTGGTTTCTCCTGAGTATCCAGCACTTCCACAACACCATAAAGTGAAACTTTATACAGTGAACCATTGTTAAGTCAGTGACTTTCTGCGGTGCAGAAAGATAATCTTACACACACACACACACACACACACACACACACACACACACACACACACCGGGGAGGCAGACTTCACACTCATTCCAGAAAAGAACTCAAATTCAATTTCAGACTCAAATGTAAGACTCAAAATTATAAAACCTCTACAAGATAACATAGAAGAAAGTCTGGGAAAACTGGGATAAGGTGATGACTTTTATATACAGCAGTGACGTCATGCTCCAGGACAGAAAGCTGATCAGCAAAATTATACTAAAATTAAAAACATCTGCTCCACAGAAGACAGTCAAGAGAATAAGAAGTCCAAGTCTGGTAGAAAAAAAACAACAACTTGCAAAAGATGGATAAGATAAAAGACTGCTATCCAAGCTACTCAAAGAATTCTTAAATCTCAACAAGAACACAAACAACCCAATTTAGAAACTGGGCCGCAGACTTGAACAGATGCCTGACCAAAGAAGACACACAGATGGCGAGTGAGCGCATGAAAAGATGCTCTGCATCACGTCACCGGGGAAAGATGCAAATCAGCACAAGATACAGCCACACACCTACCGGAGAGTCAGGGTCCAGATCGCGGGGAATGCAACAGAACAGCAATGCTCACTTAATGCTGGGGAAGCGCACAGGGGAGAGCCGCTGTGGAAGGGGCGGCTTGGTGCTCTCTTACAAACATATTCCCACCATCTGTCCCTGCCATGGGGTCCTGGGCAGCTACCCAAAGAATCTGAGAACTTGTACCTCCCTCAAAACATGCACGTGGAGGGTCAGAGCACTGATGGACATGGGCCGTGGAACCAGAACTTCCATTGGAAGTACTCAGGTGTGCGAATAGGGTGCAATCAGATGATACAACCTTATTAGGTGCTAAAAAGCAATGAGCTACCAAGCCAAGAAAAACCACCAAGGAAGCATCAGTTCGAGTGCGTCAGAGAAAGTAGCCAATCAGGAAGGGCTCCATAGGCACGATGTCCGCTATGCGGCATCCTGGGAAACGCAGGACTTTAAAGACAGTAAAATGATCGATGATTGGCAGGTGTTAGGGGAGGGAAGATAGACTGGATAGAGAAAATGAAATCTGGTGGCCTAAATGTCTGTGTGTACACCAAAGCCAAGGGTCGGTACCTGAAGGAGGAGGGAGGTCTGTTTTCTGGGGTTCTTGATGAGGCAGGCCCAAACAGCTTCCTCTGGTCTTCGCGGGGTGTAAATGGTCTTTGGGTTCTAACTGATCTTAAGGCATTCCGCGCTTCATTTATGATTTCCGCACTGGTCTTCTGCTTGGACAGCAAAGGTCGACGAAAGGGATCCAGCTTTTCTAACTTCTGATCATTGGATGACAGCATCTTTCCTTTCAACTTAAAACGGTCTTCAGAGACACACCCTGCAAATACAGGATACAAGGAACAGACGCTATTTTTTAGCCGGTACATTAGAAAGAAACGCACATCCATAAACTAAGCTACACTTTATACACACCCAAAAATGAACACAGTAGGGGCTAGGGAGGTGTCTCGGTGAATGGCTGTGCGAGCATGAGGACCCAAGTTCAAATCCCCAGAACCCGTTAAAAAAGCTGGGAGTGCAGCGTGCATCTGTTGCCCCAGTGCTGGAAGGCCCAGGCAAGTGACCCCAGGGGCTCTCTGGCCAGCCAGGCTCACCCAACATCAATCTCTAGGTTCAGTGAAAGACCCAATATCAGAAAGTAGGGTGCAGAAATGATTGAGGAAGCCATCTTCCTGTCAACTCCCTGGCTCCCACATGCCCTGAACAGGCATGTGCATCTGCACTTGCACGTAACACACACACGCGCACACACACACACACAAAGGACCAGGCAAGTGCATCTGCACATGCACGTAACACACACACCTGCCTACACACACACACACACACACACACACACACACACACACACACACACACAGGACCAAAGCCAGGGCCTACTGCTACTCAGTACTGCTACCAGTACTGAGCCTGAGCCCCGCCCCAGCCCCGCCCCGCCCCAGCCCTGCCCCAGCTCCAGTCCTACCCCAAGCCCTGCCCCAGCCCCGGCCCAGCCCCGCTCTAGCCCAGTGCCAGAACCACCCCTAGCCCCAGCCCCGCTCTAGCCCAGTGCCAGCACCACCTCTAGCCCTAGCCCAGCCCCGCCCTAGCCCAGTGCCAGCACCAGCACCGCACCAACCCTCACCTCATATCCATAAACCTACCTGAAAGCATTGGGAGCTCTGTTAAAGTTTTAACTAAGCTTTTCCACTTTCCCCACCACCCCCTATACAAAGGGCTTACATAGGTTAAACTGGAGACCGATGGGGCATCCTTCCAAACTGCATTTGTTTTCCAACAAACCCCAAGAATGGCTCTTTCTCTCCCATACCGTCCATTTTACTTTTGAATGAATCAATTCAAATCACCTTCAATTAAGATATCGCCCTTGGTGTATAAATACCAAATATTAATATCCAGTATTCTTCTCCCAGCCTATCAAATACTTAAAGCCATGCAGCAGGGCCATAAGACAGCAGATCCTTCTCAAATGTCAACGTGACCCACAGAGACCAGCCTGATCCAACAATGGTTCAGCATGGCCCACAGAGACCAAACTAGCCCAACAGTGGTTCAGCATGGCCCACAGAGACCAGCCTAACCCAACAATGGTTCAGCATGGCCCACAGAGACCAGCCTAACCCAACAATGGTTCTTCAGCATGGCCCACAGAGACCAGCCTAACCCAACAATGGTTCAGCATGGCCCACAGAGACCAGCCTAACCCAACAATGGTTCTTCAGCATGGCCCACAGAGACCAGCCTAAGCTGAACAATGGTCCAGATTTTTAAAAACATAGCCTAAGTAGTATTTGGTATCAAGGTATTCATTATTTTAATAAAACCTCTAATCCTAAAACAAAAACAACAAAAAAACTAACCCCAATCCGAAAAAATAAAAAATAAAAAAACCCAACCTACACAAAGGTACTTCCAGAGACAGAAGCCTATGCATTATTCAGGCATCTTAGCCATCCAACTTTAGAACTCTGGGCTTCTACTAAAAAGAAAATGTTTTGTGACCCATGCAAGGAAACAGAAAAGATCCTATTTCCATAAGCAAGTGGTTCCTTAGACAGAGACACTTGCTACAGTATGACCCCTTCCACTGAGCTTTTACACAACAACCACAGGACCGTTCAGTGAGTTCTCCTGGGCTCCACCCCACAAGTTTCTGAAAATACAAACAATGTCGTTCTCCGAATACAAAACACCAGGTGTTTCACTAAAGCTGCCTGGGCAATTCTATTTCAGGAGGTTTTGTAATTCAGGATTTTGAGTTTAAATGAGGACTCCAGAATTATATACATACACACACACACACACACACACACACACACACACACACACACACACACACACACACATATATATATATATATATATATATATATATATACACAACTATCAAAAGCTATGGCAGGCCTAAGACATACTTCTAACACTTCTGACAAGGTTAGATTATCAATGACTTTCAATGGGATTTGTTTCAAAATTTATAAAATGCTTTAGGTGCACATACATCTGCCTGCATTTATTTCTATTTCATGTATATTAATATATATGCTTATGTGTATTTTTAATATATAAATCCAGCCTCACAATACACAACTTTAGTGGTCACGGCAGGTGTGTTGGCTTGACTTTGAAAGACTCTTTGAAAGGCTTGGGGTGCGGGACAATGGTGGAGCGTGTGCTTAGAACTCCAAAGGCCCAGATTCAGATCCCCAACACCCACAAAAGGAAACAAAAGCCATGGGCACTTGAAATCATGTGACTTAGAAGTTTCTATCCAGTAAAGAGGTTTCTTTCCAGACACTAATCAGGTTGTCTGCGCCTTCGGCCTCGCACAGCACTAATGAGTCCAGCAATGCCCCAGGGAATCAGGTAAAACTAATAAAGAGTCAACAGAGTGCTTGGGAAGTAATAAAGGCCCCTTGCTCCTGACCCACAGTCCTCTCTGGCTAGCTTTCGGTGTGCATCAAAAAGTACACTGAGCAACAGCGCAAGAACTCAGGCAGTCTTCTAGGAGTTCGGTAAAATATTTGCATCTATAGGTAACTAGACTGACCAAATATCTGTGGGGGAAATGTAGCTAAAGGGGTTAAAACAAAACAAAACAAAACAGTGTCAGGACTGGAGTGACTGATGGTTCAGCAGTTAAGAGCACTGGCTGCTCTTCCAGAGGACCCAGCACCCACATGGTTTGGTTCCCAGCACCCACATGGTGGATCACAACTGTCTACAGCTCTAGTCCCAGGTTATCGAAGGGTAGCTTCTGGCCTCCTTGGGCACTGCATGCACACAATGGACAGATATACATGTAGAAAAAACATCCATACACACGAAAATAATAATTTTTACAATGTGTATAAATGTTCACAACTTTCTCTGTCTCCTCCCAAGTGCTGCTTTGTTATTTAGTAAGAATGGGTACAATAATAATATCACCTGTACCATTTATCTCTGGTTATTAATTAATTAATGTGAATTTAATATTAATGTTAACATATTATTAGCTAAATCAAACTTAGAAATGTTTACTAGTATGGATAAACTGGTGACAATTGTGGTTCTTTTGGTAAAGAGGATGTTTGGTTTGTTTTTTTTTACAGTGGTTAAGTTACAAGTTATTATCAGTTAGGTTGCAAATTATCAGTGGGTTTAGTCAACTTGGAAAATAATTACTAAGAGTGTGAACATCTGTTTACAACAAAGCCTGCCAGAACCCTAACACAATCACACTGCAGAAATGTTAATTTTATGAAGCCTTCCCGCCAGTGGGAGCAGGTTCACTCTACCAGAGATAATCAATGGACACAAAGGCCGTGTGTTTCCTATGGGCAGAGAGAGGCCTCCACCTAGATCTCTGGGAAGACAGAACAATAAAACTCTGCCTTTGTGCTAAGCAGGCTGGATCTCCAACGACAGTGAAGCGTTTACTTCAATAGCAAACAATGTGCTAGGTCCTCTTGAGAACATCATCTCGGCAAATCTGTGGCAATCCTACGAGGTAGGTAAACTCAAAGCAACAGCGAGGGGAAATCGATGCCATATGCCCAGGACTGTTGGCCAAGCTATTATAGACCTAGATGGGTGGTTGGAGGCCATGTTTGGAAGCTGTGGGTTGCAACACTTCCCTATCAGTATAAAAACACTCCAACATTTTCCCTACAAGGGAAGGCTCCCCAGTACGCACCAGCTGAATGTCAGCCTTACTTGTATCCAAACGATTTCAATATAAAGAAGAAATTGAGGGGGCAATGAAAATCGACATAAATGGCCATGTGACTGCCCAACCGGAAATGATTTCAGATTAGGAGAAGGCCTCTGGAGGCAGCAGCGCTTGAGCTGCTGGGTTCTGGAAAATAGGCTGACTCTGAGGGCCTGACGGTGGCCCTGGAGGAGAGAACCGTGAGGAAGCCAAGGAAGAGCATCGGGAGCATGCGTGGCTATGCGTGGCTATGCGTGGCCCAGCCGCGCTGCAAGTGTGAAGTCTGAGTGGGGACCACAGGGAGGGCAACATGTCAGGGGGAAACCAAACACAAGCTGATGCACAGACTGAAGATCTTCGAGGTTGATGTCGCTCGGCAAGGGGGTGCAGGAGGAAGAAAAGAGAGGAAAAGAGACAAAACTGGGCAGTTTATATAACTCCGCCTCCTACTCTCCCCGAGAATCACCTCCTCAAGAACCCTTCCTGGGCATGCCTTTCCCACACCTTTACACTGAGTTTGGAGGCCTCTGCACAGACTCCATGAGGTCCCAAGTGTTAGAACTAGCCGCTCATCGTCTGGTGTTGGTCTCTACCCTGGGACTCTGAACCCCAACCCTCCAGAGTAGCCCAGCTGGAGACCACACATACTTGAGCTAAAAAATTCCCAGATGAAGCCTACATGGCTTTAACTGGAGATATCTGCTGCGGTAGATTATAAAAGTATATTGGACTTCACATTGACATCTGATTGTGAGTTCAAATAAAGTTCCCTCTCTCTCTTTCCAGTTGCCCAAAAGTATGGGACTGGACAAATGCGATGATCAGTGAGCCATGGACGGGCAGCCTGAGATCCAGGAGTGACAGTGTCACCAAGGGAGAAACGAGATGAGAAGAGCAGTGGGCAGTGGAATGAACCTGCTCCCACTGGCGGGAAGGCTTCATAAAATTAAGATTTCTGCAGGGTGATTGTGTTAGGGTTCCAGCAGGCTTTGTTGTAAACGGATGCTCACACTCTTAGTAATTATTTTCCAAGTTGACTAAACCCACTGATAACTTACAACTTAACTGATAATAACTTGTAACTTAACCACTGTAAAAAAAAATCCTCTTTACAAAAAAGAACCATAGTTGTCACCAGTTTACTTGTACTAGTAAACATTTCTAAGTGTAGTTTAGCTAATAATACGTTAGGGAACAGGTATGTGAGAAGATGGGAAGAGGCCAGAGGCAGCACAATTGCAGACCTGCAGGGCTCAGAGAGAGGCCAGGAGCCCTTCCAGAAGACACCAGGGGAGAGGAGAAGTCTGCCGAGAAGAGGGAAGCTACATTCCGTCCTGCACCACACTGTCTTCAGTCTGTGGCAGCCAATGGGACCGCGAGGGGATGGGCGGCGTCTGTAGCAAGTCTGAAGCAGTAACTGTTGTTGTTGCTGTTGTTTTGGTGTGTATGGGCATTTTGCCTGTGAAAATGCCGATGCACCCCATGCATGCAGTGCCTGCAGAAGCCAGAAGACAACACTGCCTTCCCTGGAACTGGATTTGCAAGTGGTTGTGAGCCACCATGTCGATGTTGGGAATCAAACCCTGGTCCTCAGGAAGAGCAACCAATGCTCTTAACCACTGAGCCATCTCTCCAGCCCCATGTGTTATTTTTAAAACAAAATATTTCTTATTGATGTGAAAGAAATTCAAAGTCACTATTTACATGGTTTTATACCTAATTATAAAAACTTACTCACACGGCAGCAATTGCAGTTCCAGGGAATCTGATGCCCTCTTCTGACCTCAGAGGGTACTACTGCATGCACATGGTGCACATACATACTAACAAGCAAACACTCGTACACATAAAACAAGAATAAATACATCTTTAAAAAAAGCCCTACCATTACTTTTGCTACTAACAGCACCTGAACCAGACCTTTCAGGCTAGGTATAGCATTACCCTATCAACACTGCCAAAATCAGTGTTCATGGGTGCACACTCCTCTCCCTGCAAATCAAACACTCAGGACCTTTCCAAGACTGAATTACTTTAGTGTTAATATGAGCATCCAAAAAGGCACAAGAAGCCGGGCGGTGGTGGCGCACGCCTTTAATCCCAGCACTCGGGAGGCAGAGCCAGGCGGATCTCTGTGAGTTCGAGGCCAGCCTGGTCTCCAAAGCGAGTTCCAGGAAAGGCGCAAAGCTACACAGAGAAACCCTGTCTCGAAAAAAACCAAAAAAAAAAAAAAAAAAAAAAAAAGGCACAAGAAAAGGGCTTAGATGTCAGAGCAAGTGTTAGCGTCCTCTGCTGAGCCACAGCTCTGTGACCTGGGGCAGGGCATTGAACATCTCCACGCTTGTGTCCTCTTCTATAAAAAGTATGGATGGTGATGGCCTCTTACGGCAGTTTTTAGCATTGCATGAGACGGCCCATATGCTTTAGCACAGGGCTTAGACCTTAGAAACATTAAGAACTACTGTCTGAGTGCTATGTGATAAAGAGAAGCAGAAAAAAAATTCTTATGAATGAAAATATGCACTAATAAGAGAAATCACAAAATAGAATGAAATTTGTTTAGTGTTTTTATGTATATCGCAAATTTAAATTTTCAAGTAGAGAGTGCTGTCCTTGATAAAAACAGAAAGTTTTTTTTTTTTTTTTTATTAATGGCTTTACTGAATGTCAGGTATACCAAACCAACACCAGTGGGAGTCAGAACCTTAGAGATTCACAAAGTGGGATACAAACAGTGTGACTTGCTTTTATACCAAGCTGAAAGAATTTGAAGTCGGGATGGGATGTAAGAACCTGCTGTAATATTCACGGCATGGGTCGTAAGAGGCACTCTATACACATAGGATGTTCCACTTGGACGCATCTGTTCCCTAGAAAAGTTCAAGTTTGCGGTGTGTGACCTTGGCTACACAAAGCCCCTTAGTCTACCACTCTCTCATTCAACCGGTGTTACTGAGCTGCTGTTATTAAATACCAGGCGACTGACTAAACGCTCAGTGATTCAGAATCTAACACCCGTGCGGACCTGAGAGAGTGCAGCAGTACCACTGGACACTATCGGGGACGACAGAAAAGAGAACAACAGCGGGGTGTGTGTGTGTGTGTGTGTGTGTGTTGGGGTGAGGGGTGTCCCTGGTGAACCTGCGGGGGAATCCTCACCTCCCACGCGCAAAGCGGCTCTGTCACTCAGGGCAAAGCCCGCTCCTCCATCGGTCCAGGTTAGGGCCGAGCGTCGCAGCATCCTCACCTCGCCCTCCCGCCCTCCCGCGCCCTGGCTTTGCCCTGCTGACTAGCGTCTCCATGGTAACCGTACACAAACCACCTTCGGCTGCAGGCGGGGCGGTCAGCCTGCAGACCCTCGGCGCCGCGGAGCGATGCGATGCGCGATGCGCTGGAGTTGGTGCTGAGAAGGGGACTCCGGGCTCAACTCAGAGCACCTGTGACGAGGGCTGGACACCCAGACCCCCGCGGAGGGAGATCAGCTGGTCCTCCAAGGCAGCAGCGACAGAGAGGCGGGGCGGGGCGGGGCGGGGCGGGGCGGGGCGGCCCGACTCCACTCTCCACCACCGAGCCTGCGCCAATCCCGCTGCGCCTGCGTAGCAGTGCCGAGGCGTGGCGAAGGCGGGTTTGGGCGTGCCCGCGGGAGGATACCCTCGGGGAAAAGGCAAGGGGAGGTGGAGGGAAGTCTTCTCTTACATTAACAGTGTATTCAACCATGTTTGCTTCTCCCCGTGAGATCTCCGAGCCTTCATCTCCGAGCCTTCATCTCCGAGCCTTCATTAAACAGCAGGCAGAGGAACAATTGAATGTTTGGAGTAAAGAGTCGGTTTCTGATCATGGATGTCAACATCTACCTGGAACCTGTTTCTTAACCTCTCCTCTCTTACACGTAAGGGAGGAGGGTGTTATCCCGTGTGTGTCTAGCTGAATCTTGGGCTGTGACAAAATAAATATAAAGCGCTGTGAACGTAGCAACGGATGCTAACCTGTTAGATACTTTTAACTCCGTGCATTTGTGCAGCACTCAACAATTTACAGAGCAACAGAACAGCTAAGGACCTGAGGTCAGATCAGGTGAGCACCAGAGCGATTATCATTGAGGGTTGCTGTAGCCAATCACTACAGTCCAGGCCCAAAGGGGAGGGGGGGAGTCCCATGTTTATGTTTTCAGTTCAAATTCTGTTTGCTCCTATACTGAATCATTAGGTGACACTTGTGAGATACAAGCCAGGCATAAGCTCTAGGTTCACACAATGGTTTATAAATATAGGGGTTATCAGAGCAAGTGTTGTGAACACTGGAAAAGTGCCATATCCCATGGTGCCACGTGTCTTGTAGAGAATGACTAAATTGCATCTATTTTGCACACGTACTACGTTTGATGAGAAATGACACCTGGAACTAAAGAAGGAAAAGGTTTTCCAAGGGCTTAACAAGATTTCCCACATCACGGACACTGAAAACTCAGTGGCTGATTAAGTTTAGGACCCCAAACGAAATATTCATGTTCTTTGGGATTGAAATCCCCAACAGCGATTCAACAGGGTCTGTCCTATGAAGTCCCATTTACTAGTGACTCCTTTATGCAAAAGGACATCGCCTGTTGCATAGAAAGCCGTAATTAGTGTTTTGATTTCACAGTTTGTGAGATGTGATAAAATATAACTCCATTTGGTCTCTTAGTGGTCTTTCAAAATACAGTGCTGTTTATCTGACCCTAGGTGGAAAGTTAGGTAGCACTTTCTAATTTTTCTGCTATTAAATGACTGGTAATCCAATATTAACTCAACCTCAACGTCATTCTAAATGATGTCTGGTGAAAAACATCAAATGTATCAAACTACAGTAGCCAATAGAAATTCACTTTTCAACTCTAACCCTCACCCCACATTTGGGGTCTACAGTGAGCCTTCCCAAAACTGCAGTAAGTTGACTAACTATAAAAGTATCATCTCCAAGGCAGGCAGTGGTGGGGCACGCCTTTGATCTCAGCATTCAGGAGGCAGAGGCAGACAGATCTCTGAGTTCGAGGCCATCCTGGTCTACAGAGCAAGTTCCAGGACAGCAAAAGCTACACAGAGAAACCCTGTCTTGAAAAACAAAAACAAACAAAATTGTCATCGCCATTGAAACATCAGCTTGAAAACCTGTAAACCAGACATGGCCTCAGGCCTATAATCCCAGCATTTAGGAAATTTTGGCAGGAGAATTACCACAAGTTCAAGACTAGCCTGGGCTACAGCATGGGACCTTTTCTCAAAAGACAAAACAAATAAACCAACAAAAGCAAACTGGTTATATCAATAATTGTTAGATATAGTCTTGTGTCTAGGTTGTTGGTCCAAACTAGACCTTGTAGGCATACCATTGAAATATGAAGCTAGTCAACCTAGTAGGCCAGATATCAGTCCAGCAAGTTAGAATAACTGAAAAGAATAACAAAGACAGAATTACAGGGAACAGTTACTTGAAGGAATAATGCTATATAGCTTACATTACTGTAAATCAGTGTATGGGAAAATATTTAGGCTACCACAGTAAGAGGCCGGTGTGGCTGATATGGCTGCTCCTCCAGGTATCTGGTAGCTTTTTAACAGGATTCTACACAGATGGCTTTTGTAAAAAAAAAAAAAAAAAAAAAAAAAAAGGACTTCAAAGCTACCGATATGTTTTATAGACCTTAAAGAGAAATGATTAATTATAGGCATGTGACATTTATAGAGGACTTTATAGTTTCCAATTGATTTCCTCTGGAACAGTTCATTCTGTTGTCTTATTTAGATTTACGATAAGCCTGAAAGGTTAATCCAAGGATTATTATTTGAATTTGAAATCAGAGGTCAGAAGGTTAGGTAATCTGTTCACAAGCATAGAGCCAGTAAAAGGGCATGTGGACTGGTGTTCTTGGTGTCAAAGTCCAGTCGGCTGGCCTGCTGAAATAACTGTAATCTTTCGGGCCAAGGCCTCTCCTCCACAGAATGGGAAGTACTCCCTGGGTGGCTGTGGTGGGCTCCAGACATCAAGAGGAACTTCACAATCTTCACTTGAACACATTCCACGAAACTTCTGGATTTTGAGTTAACAAGAGGATTGTGTAAGTGGTAAATTAACAATGTAATATTGTGAACTTTCTGATAGAAAAATGAAGGGAGGGGCTGGAGAAATGGCTTAGCAGTTAAGAATGCTTGTTACTCTTACAAAATACCAGAATTTGGTTTCTAACACCCACATAGAGTGGCTTGAAACCACCTGCAACTCCAGCTCCAGGGAGCAGGTATGAGTGCTCTTGCACACACACACACAATACGAAAGAATATAAACTTGTAGATGGCTTTTATTTGCAGATGCTTGTTGTGGGATTTTGTACACTGTGTGAAAATGTATTGTTGTGATTGCTGCAATAAAAAGCTGAATGGCCAATAGCTAGAAAGAGGTATAGAGCGTCATAGAAAAAATTGTTTAAAAATAATAAAGTCTTTGACCGGGCAGTGGTGGCGCATGCCTTTAATCTCAGCACTCAGGAGGCAGAGGCAGGTGGATCTCTGTGAGTTTGAGGCCAGCCTGGTCTCCAAAGTGAGTTCCAGGAAAGGTGCAAAGCTACACAGAGAAACCCTGTCTCGAAAAACAAAACAAAACAAAACAAAAATAATAAAGTCTTTAAAGAGAGAGTAAAGTAATACAAAAAAATAAGCTATATAAAGCTGGGAAATACACAGGACATCTGGATCCTGTATGGGGCTTTGCTGACTTTGAATTTTTTAAATGTACAAAAAAACCAACAGCTGCAGAGAGACATTGGATAATAGAAAAAAACTGCTGAATTAAATCAACCCATATATTTTAAGAATGTCTTATCTTCAAAATGGAAGTCAAAAAACACGTTATGTTAGGGGAGAGGTTATGCCTTTGTTTCCACAGGAAACAAAAAGTTACGGTTCTCTTTAAAATTAATAAAGATCAGATTTGATTGGGCAAGATCTGAAAATCTGTCTACAAATGCCAATAGATCTTACAGCTTATAGTTTACACCACACACGCCTTGTACTTAATGTCTATTTCTTATTTTGACTTATCTATTAGGTATATCCTTGAAAAGACATAAATAAACAGTTTACTAACATTCAAATTCCTTCCTCACCATAAATTTATGACTATAACAGAGATGTAACTTTTAGGAAAGAAATGCTTCTGGCAACGAGTAAAGACAGCCAACTTAAAATTCTAATACTCACTTCAAGATGTTCAGTCATTTAATTATATTTATCACACAATCCCTGTAAAGAGTTCATCAAACTGATAGCCCGTGCAGTTCTTGCATACAAATTCAAAAGCACATATGCATTTAAATATAATTCGATAGAACTTTACAATGTGATGAAAATTAACTAAGTTCATGAAACTTGGGGGACATAAAGCTATGGCTGACTGGAGGCATCAGCTCATAAAGTCACAGGACAAACCTCTATTGAATGGGGCTCAGCAGTTGCCTGGACATCTAAGGATTAGTTCACTTTTCCACACTTTCCCCATACCTCATTGCCTCTGCCAGCCCTGACCACAGAGCAAATAACACACAGTTCTACCTAAGGGAGCTTAACTACCAAGGCCATGATGTACTAATTTGTTTAGCAATAATCTGGAAGTGGACTGGTTCAGTGTGGGTCCTGTAGCTCAGAGATCAGCACATGTCAGTCATAGCTCACAACATCGTTACAGATGGCTGTGGCATTACTGAGCTGTGCATTCTCAAACTGCAGTGTCCAGAATCAGAAAAGAGAAGTGGATGGGCCCTGTCCATCTCCATCAGTATAACAGGAAGGAAACACATGCCAGGGAGCTGAAGGGGCATTTGCCTACTGGGCACAAGGCCCTGAATTCAGACTTCAGTCTCCAGGAAAACATGGCAAAGGAGGTCTGTTCACCCCGTAATGGCTAGGAGGCAGAGAGAGACAGGAAGATGGGAATTCATGCCAGAGGAGGCCTATTCACATAATGGTGGCCTGGAAGCAAAGGGGAACGGGATGAAGAGAGGGCCCTAATATCCCTTTCAAGAGTGCAGCCCCCTACTAAATGCATCTTCCCTCCACTAGGCCACACTTTCTTCCAACATCAGCGCAGACTAGGCATCCAGCCTTTAACAGCACAGACCCTCGGGGAACATTCAAGATTCAAACTGTGGTAGTCAAGGTTCCTAGTTTTTGTTTATTTGTTTTTTGAGACAGTCTCACGTAGCCCAGGCTGGCTCTGAACTATGTAGCCAAGGATGACCTTGAACTCCTGATCCTTCTGCCTCCAACTCCCTAGTGCTGGGCTGACAGGCATGTGCCACATGTTGTTTTTATGTGTGGGGACAGGCTCCAGGATTTCTTGCATGCTCGGCAAGCACTCTGCCAGGTGAGCCCCAGCCCTGGGTCTTGAGGGAAAAGGACACGATTCCGTCGCACCTTGCTGCTGTATCCCGAGGCAAGCTGGAGAAATTTTCAATAGGACAACGGTGTTAGGTGGATGGCGATGACTGTG